TCCTTACTTTACTATATGCATGATACATGAAAGCTGGGAATATGACCCTTCACTTCATTTAGGCACCTTGCGATACACCTTTCTCTAAAACATTGTAGAAAGGGGTCAGCCCCACCCCTCCCCCCTCTACCTTTTCCTCACCCACCCTTTTTAAAAATATTTTATTTATATTGGCTGCCTTGCACATATCGTTCAACGTACGTAGTCATTTCCCGAAAATAAATGTCACAGATGGCAGAACAAGTTCCCGTAGATCGTCACAGAAGAACATGAAAGGGTGGAGTATGTAACTTAACGAGCATGTTTTTTTCCCCCCACTTCTATCTAATTCGCATTTTTTGTTCACGGGCTCGACTTTGGGCCTACCTGAAGTGGCTATTTTTAGTTGGTAACTAATGTCCGTGTTAGTACGTTGTTCAAGGAGAAGATCTTCGTTTCTGAAAGTTTGATTTATGATAAGATTATCTGGAATAAGTCATTCGACGGCAGCCGGCTTTCATATCTATACAGAGATAGAGAAGTGTTATAGACTGAGTATGTCAAGTTGCGTTTACAGTACCCAAGGGAATTAAGTATAACAAGTTGTTCATCCCACTCGGTATGTATTGCTAATTTACCGACGGTCGTATAGTTTATTCGGCGCAGTTTCGTGGCCTAAAGAGTAATGAATGCGTTTAACAATTACATGATTCTCGCTCGAGTGCTAAGAGTTCAATTTTCAAGATAGACGGTTGGCACACTGTACCAGAGTCGCTGTACCAGAGTCGCTGTACCAGAGTCGCACTATTGAAGAGATTGCAGCCAAGTAAGACTCTCAAAGACCAAAGACAGTGTTGGTTATTAATATTATTGTAGCCAACCTTAATTGTGGAGACGACACACAGTTAAAAAAAAAAGTGCGTTTAAGTAAACAGGTGTCATATTACTGAAACAGAAAGCTGTCACGATTGGTATATCACAGCCTTAAGAAAGATCGATGGACATAAAGGATTGTCCCCTTGTAGATAACGTTTATCACAGACATGAGAAGGAGACAGTCATCATTTTTCGGCCATGTTATGAGAAGAGGGAAAATGGAACATGTTGTGACCACTGAAAAGATCTGTGGAAGGAGGGGATAGAGGAAGACAACGAGAGAAGATTCTTGGCCGTCTTGTTGAGTGGCATGGAGGTGTGTTAGCACACGAACTGATACATACTGCAGGAGATCGCAGATTGGAGAGGCATGGTCGCCCACGCCAGTCGGCAAGGCACCTGATAATGATGATGATGATGATGAGAGTGAGGTTTGCGACCAGGGAGGGCTACTGTGGTAGGCAGACAATCAATGGACTAGGCTGATTCACTGTAGTCTGTACAAGAAGTATGAGAAGGGCAGTGGAGGCTGACAAATATCAGTTTCATATTTCAAATTATTTGTGCCAGGCCACGCGGGCGAGCAAGGAAATAAGCAAGCTGATAGGCTTGCAGGTAAAGCTACTGTGGAGGGCGGGCGAGCCATGGACCTTGCTGCTCTTCTGAATGCTCTGTGGGAAGTAAGACGTTTGTGAGAACCAAATGATGACTGTGAATCTGCAACAATGGCCAGACTGCAATAAAAGAGGTGTGGCCAGACAAGAAGACTATCCAGGAAGCCAAAGAAGAATAAGAAACCAACGCAGAACTGGTGTCGTGAGCCGCTATACTCTGCGGGATTTACTGAGGAGGCAATCTGAGCACTATGGACTGAATAGTTCGATATGCAATAAGAATAATCTGTAGACTAACTAACTAACTAATTAACAGGAGTAAGACATTTGCGATAGTAAAGATATGCATGAAGCAGCAACTATGACCAGACCAGTATGCAAAAACAGCAAGTGAAATGGGGTTGAGTCAATGATGAATAACAGACCATTCAGACAACTACTGTTTCTTAGTTCAGACAATAACTTTATGTTAGCTCAGACAATAACTCAAGCTTAGATCAGATAAATAGGTCTTAGTTAAAACAACTTCATCTTAATTCAGACAACTGTTTCATAGTTCATAGAACTGTATCTTATTTCAGACAACAACTTTGTGTTACTTCAGACAATAACGCAAGCTAAGTTCAGACAAATGGATCTTAGTTTCGACAACTTTATCTTAGTTCTGACAACTGTTTCTTAGTTCAGACAACAGCGATATCTTAGTTCGGACAACGACTGTATCTTAGTTTATATGACAACTTTATTTTAGTTCCGACAACTTTTTCATAGTTCAGACAATTTTTTCTTAGTTTAGACAACTTTGTCTTTGTTCAAACAACAACTTAATATTTGTTCAGACAACAAGTGTATCTTAGTTCAGACCACAGCTGTACCTTAGTTCAGACAACAGCTGTATCTTAGTTCAGACAACAGCTGTATCTTAGTTCAGACAACACCTGTATCTTAGTTCATACAACAACTGTATCTTAGTTCATACAACAACTGTATCTTAGTTCATACAACAACTGTATCTTAGTTCATACAACAACTGTATCTTAGTTCATACAACAAATGTATCTTAGTTAAGACAACAGCTGTATCTTAGTTCAGACAACAGCTATATCTTAGTTCATACAACAGCTGTATCTTAATTTAGACAACCACTCTGTCTTAGTTCAGACAACTTTATTCAAGTTGAAACAACATTTATTTATCTTGTTTCAGACAAAACTGTAACACTCAACAGTAGCATTAAACTAATGACAGTCAGCATTTCAGTTTTGTTACTGTAGTATATACCTGTAATGACAGACAGCATTAAAATTCTGTTATTGTAACATATCTCTAATGAAAGTAAGCTTTACAGTTCTGTTACTGTAGTATACCTCTAATGACAGTCAGCTTTACAATTCTGTTATTGTAGTATATACCTCTAATGACAGTCAGCTTTACAGTTCTGTTACTGTAGTATACCTCTAATGACAGTCAGCTTTACAGTTCTGTTACTGTAGTATACCTTTAATGACAGTCAGCTTTACAGTTCTGTTACTGTAGTATATACCTCTAATGACAGTCAGCTTTACAATTCTGTTACTGTAGTATATACCTCTAATGACAGTCAGCTTTACAATTCTGTTACTGTAGTATACCTCTAATGACAATAAGCTTTACAATTCTGTTATTGTAGTATACCTCAAATGACAATAAGCTTTACAATTCTGTTACTGTAGAATACCTCTAATGACAATAAGCTTTACAATTCTGTTACTGTAGTATACCTCTAATGACAATAAGCTTTACAATTCTGTTATTGTAGTATGCCTCAAATGACAATAAGCTTTACAATTCTGTTACTGTAGAATACCTCTAATGACAGTCAGCTTTACAGTTCTGTTACTGTAGTATATATCTCTAATGACAGTCAGCTTTACAATTCTGTTACTGTAGTATACCTCTTATGACAATAAGCTTTACAATTCTGTTATTGTAGTAAATACCTCTAATGACAGTCAGCTTTATGATTCTGTTACTGTAGAATACCTCTAATGACAGTCAGCTTTACAGTTCTGTTACTGTAGCATACCTCTAATGACAGTCATCATTACAATTCTGTTATTGTAGTATATACTTCTAAGGATAGTCAGCTTTACAATTCTGTTACTGAAATATACCTCTAATGACAGTCAGCTTTAAAGTTCTGTTACTGTATTATACCCCTAATGACAGTCTGCTTTACAGTTCTATTACAGTAGTATATACTTCTCATGACAGTCAGCATTACAATTCTGTCACTGTAGTATATACCTCTAATGACAGTAAGCTTTACAGTTCTGTTACTGTAGTATATACCTCTAATTACAGTAAGCTTTACAGTTCTGTTACTGTAGCATACCTCTAATGACAGTCATCATTACAATTCTATTATTGTAGTATATACTTCTAAGGATAGTCAGCTTTACAATTCTGTTACTGAAATATACCTCTAATGACAGTCAGCTTTATAGTTCTGTTACTGTATTATACCCCTAATGACAGTCTGCTTTACAGTTCTATTACAGTAGTATATACTTCTCATGACAGTCAGCATTACAATTCTGTCACTATATTATACCTCGAATGACAGTAAGCTTTACAGTTATGTTACTGTAGTATATACCTCTAATGACAGTAAGCTTTACAGTTCTGTTACTGTAGTATATACCTCTAATGACAGTAAGCTTTACAGTTCTGTTACTGTAGTATATACCTCTAATGACAGTAAGCTTTACAAGTCTGTTACTGTAGTATATACCTCTAATGACAGTAAGCTTTACAAGTCTGTTTCTGTAGTATATACCTCTAATGACAATCAGCATTACAAGTCTGTTACTGTATTATACCTTTAATGACAGTAAGCTTAACAAGTCTGTTACTGTAGTATACACTCTAATGACAGTCAGCAATATCTGTAAAGCAGTAGACTGCAGTTCCATTGTTTGTGTCTTTGCTATTGAAATCTTACATTTGTTTACATTTACATTATTGTCTTTGCCCATTTTATCATTTTACAGAGATCACAGGGGATCGTCACCAGAGCTACGGAGTTCATGCTCTGTGCTCTCAGAATGCTGTTAGTCATTCTACGGAGAGAGACGGAGCCCTATGGGATAGCAGCCAGTGCAATGAAATCGATCCTCTCAACTTTAACCTTCAACCTTTATCATTGTTGTTTTTGAGTAACATATCTTTGTTATTGTGCTTTTGTTAATGACTGAATTATCATTGAAAACACAGTTTTCCCACCGTAAATTTCAATAATGCAATCACAAACAATACTTTGCACAATTTATTGCTGAATCTCGTTGGGTACATCTTTACAGAGTTAAATGAACATTCAGTGAAACATCAAAATAAATCTTTTCCCAGAAATTTAAGAAAAGTCTCATTGATTTTTCATTGTTCTTATTGTTGACAGTCACATCTTTGTTGTTATGTGTATGCTATTGTTGATGGATGTACTACTTCTGTTGTCTAATAATATTTTGTTTAAATGTTCACAGTTGAAAGAAAATGGTGATTCAACACTCAAGCACACCAGCCTTGAGCAAGGAAGTGTTGTACATTGGCAGTGCAGTCCCTTTGGAAACCTCCGAGGGTCTTGAAGCTATACAACAACCATTGAGGTCAAGATATCCAGTTGACAATGATGAGAATGTCCAAGGAATCCTTTCCATATTATCCATTCTTCCTTCCGGAATCCAGCTTCGTTACAAAAATGACCCTAGCCATGTTGTCCTGTTCCCTTTTTCCTCTTTAACGATGTGTGCAGCTGTCCGGTGTGTGAAAATAATTAACGCGGCTACCAATGAAGTTTCTGCTCGCTTTGTGTCACTGAGCTCTCCAGAAGCCGGTGGGGCCAACAATCAAAGGCCAGCCATCTTTACAGCCATTACAAGAAGGACCAAGGGTCGACAAGTGCTGGAGTGTCATGGTTTTATCACGATGACTCCCAAAGATGCCCTTGAGTTGGTTCAGTGGACTTCAACTCTTGACAAAAGGAGTAAACAGAAAGGACTGGAATCTCTGAAGACAGGAGCTAGCTCATCCGCCTATGATGTCAGCAGGGCAGATTCCTCTTTCTTTACGGAAACAGCTTCCTTGCCTGAGTTCCCGATTCAACTGGTTCCTGGAGACTCAGTGGAGCCAGTTTCACCAGCCACATCTCCAGCTTTTTATAAAGAGCCACCACCAAATGGGTTTTTCTACTCCACAAAAAATGCACAAGTAAAGAAGTACTCACTTCATAAATTTAGTGGAGCTGCAGGTGCTGATGATACTCATAGTTCCATTCCTGCAGGAACGGATCATTTTGAGAGGTTACCCGGTTATGCATCCTCACATTATTCAACCAGTGGGGCTGTATTACCCACTGTGCCAAGACAGCCAGTTCTTGTTCCCATACACCCTTACTCTCATCTTTCTCCTCCACTCCCAGCTTACACCAGACCTGTGTTTGTAGGACCACCTCCTCCACCTCCAACAATGTTTGCTTACCCCAGACCCCGCTTCTTCTCTCCTCCTCCAGTAATGAGAGCTCGTCCTGTACCTGTGTTGGTACCACCTCCAGTCTATAATGACAGCACTTACCTGAGGGCTAAAGTGGGTAGACGAGGGTCTAGAGAATCATCACGTTCCACTTCTCCTTCTTCAATACCGGAGTCAGCTCAGCTGAATGGAAAGCCACACAGGAAGTTTCACCCCCATGATGAAACAAGTCAGTCCAGTTCCCGACCCAGAACGCCCCCTACAGATTACGACGCTCCGTCTTCTCGAGGTCATCGCGTGAGCAGAAAAGAGGATTTTTACCTGCGCCAGAATGTACATCCTGCATCTTCTCAAGTTCAGGCTGCTAGAGGGTTCAAGGGCTACTACTGGGCACCTCCTTACGGCTACTACAGCCTACCCCATCCTACAGGGCCTGCTAGGCCTCGTTCTGTTCCCCCTTATGTTGAAAGACGTGAGAAAAAATCAAAGAACAAAGAAGCAAAGAAAAGCAAAAAAACGAAAAAGAGGAGCAGCAAAAAAGGTCATCATGAAAACGCACATGATGAGTCAACTGACAGTGTTGGATACACATCAGAAATTGCCGACAACAGACTGCCTCGTGACTTTCGCCGGGTGGAGAACCAGTTCAAGCATGAAAGGGCATTTTCAAAGTCCCTGGCTGAAGAGAAGCGCAATTCTTTGAAAGGCAGTACCGCCTTTAATGCCTACTCACTGAACAACACAGTCGGAAACAATGAGAATGATTTTCCACCTACAATGTACTAACTCTACTCAAGAACACAGTTAGAAACAGTGGCTGAACTTTACTAAACAACATACTTGCAATCAGTGTTCTGAAGTGACAACACAAATAGGGACAGGTATGAAACAAACAGTGCAGCTAAAGATAATGTTCTAAACAAACAATGCAGCTATAAACATTGTATATCTTCTTGACAACATAGCCACAGTAAATGTAAAACTTTAGTAAATAACGCAGCTGGAAACATAAACTACTGACTAACACATATGGCAACAGTGTAAACAACTTAACAGCAAGGCTTCAATCAGTGTAAATCTATAAACAGCACAGCTGGAGAAAACTTACAACTAGCAAACAATGTAATTAGCAACAGTGTAAAACTACTTAACATTCTAACTGGAATCATTGTAAAATTCAAATGTACAATGTCACTAAAAACCATAGAGGAATTCTACTATACACCATGGCTAGAAACCATAGAAGAATTCTACTAAACACCGTGGCTAGAAACCAAAGAGGAATTCTACTATACAGCATGGCTAGAAACCGTAGAGGAATTCTACTATACAGCATGGCTAGAAACCATAGAGGAATTCTACTATACACCATGGCTAGAAACCGTAGAGGAATTCTACTATACAGCATGGCTAGAAACCATAGAGGAATTCTACTATACAGCATGGCTAGAAACCGTAGAGGAATTCTACTATACACCATGGCTAGAAACCATAGAGGAATTCTACTATACACCATGGCTAGAAACCATAGAGGAATTCTACTAAACACCGTGTCTAGAAACCAAAGAGGAATTCTACTATACAGCATGGCTAGAAACCATAGAGGAATTCTACTATACAGCATGGCTAGAAACCGTACAGGAATTCTACTAAACAACGTTTCTAGAAACGGTAGAGGAATTCTACTAAACAATATCACCAGAATGAATTATACTATACAATATCACCAGAAACCATGAATAAGTTCTACTATACAACATCACTAAAAACAGTGGGGAAATTCTACTATGCAACATTACTTGAAACCATGGATTAATTCTTCTGTACAACATCACCGTAAACCATGGATGGATTTACTAAACATCACCGCTAGAAACCATTGGATGGATTTACTAAACAACACAGCTAGAAACCATTGAATGGATTTACTAAACAACACAGCTAGAAACCATTAGGTGGATTTACTAAACAACACAGCTAGAAACCATTGGATGGATTTACTAAGCAACGCAGCTAGAAACCACTGGATGGATTTACTAAACAACACAGCTAGAAACCATTGGATGAACACTTTTAAAGAATGGAATCAACCAACGATTACACACTGTAAAAACCTTAGTCACATTGCACCTTTAAACAATTGAACTGTCTATTCAGCTACATGAATATTTATGTGGAACATTGTCATCAATGGGAGACAAAAAAACCACAAAAGTCTGAATGGAATTACCCAACTTTCCACTTTTACTCACAAGACCACAGATGAGAATATAAAGGTATTATCTCAAAACAAAGATAACAGCAATTTTTTTTTTTTTCTGGGGAAGAAAAAAGTGCCACTACTCACCATAAATAGTCTAATTACACTGGTGCCAGAAAAAATAACACCTTAAAAAAGGTGTGGGTACTCGCACCACCAGAAGAAAACAGCTCTGAATGTAATCAAGATAAGGGTAACTCATAAGTTGTTCAATTAGTCAGCTATATCATATACTAAATGGATAATTTAATATCATAAATAGTGGTTACAATAACTGATCAAAACTGTGAGCGGAGAGGAGAGTTAATCAGCTTTATTATGCAACAAATATTATTATAAATTAATTATGTCTTCCTCTCTTCTACAATGTGCCTTATCGAGGTGTTTGGGGGGAAATGTAGGGATCGTTTGTACGCTTCTGTAAGGTTTTTCCTGATGATATCACTCCAGTTCAAGCATGATTTTTTACCCTTGCTCTATGTTCAATACATTGCTTCAGCGGGGCTCTCTGTGGCAGTTGGTACCAGGGCATTCTCGTCAGGTGGCCAAACCATCTCATTTGATGTTCTTTAATTAATTTTATGACTGGTTTCAGTCCTAGTCTTCTTCTAATTTCTTCATTCTTGATTTTATCTCTTCTTGTCACACCGCAGCTTTCCTAAGACATCTCATCTCTGTTGTTACAATCTTCCGCTCATTAGTTGTAGAAAGTGTCCATGTTTGGCACTGGTAGCACAATGTCGGCCAAAAAACCATTCTTATGAGATTTGCTTTGGTTGACAGGGGTATCTTTCTATGCGTCAGAAGCTGTGATAATTGTCCCATAACCTGATTTACTTTCGCACATCATATGTTGATTTCTCTATCTATTCTTCCATCTGAGGTAAAAAATGACCCTTTATATTTAAATTAGCTCATTTGTTTTATTTATGTGTTATTTACTTTTTACTTAATTAATTTTGTGACTGTATAAATTAACTCTACCATGTATGTGTATGAGTAAGTTAACTTTGCCATGTGTCTGTAAAAAACTCTAATTATTTGTCTGTATAAGAATAAACTATTGTATCTCTATAAAAGAGTAAATTAACTATATTATATTTCTGTAAAAGAGTAAATTAACCCTAATGTGTGTAAAAGCAAATAAAAAAAATTACCTCAGCCATATATGTCTGTATCATAATAAGCTAACTTTTCCATATGACCATATAAGAATAAGTTAACTCTGTCATGTGTCAGTAAAAGAGAGAAAAACTATCATGTGTCCATATAAAAGTAAATGAACTCTACTGTGTGTCTGCATGGTGTAATTTAACTCTGCCATGTTTCTGTATGAGAAAAAAATTAACCCTTTTATTTCTCCCAACTTTAAATGGGTACCAGGTAAAAGCCCTGGGAAGTAAAGATGGTGCCATGATGCTAAACACATTATCGACCGACTGCTGATTGGTCTATAAAATACAGGTTTAACCCTTTGGGAAAGGGTCCTTTACTTACTTTACTTTTATTTATCTTTAACTCTTTGAGTCCCAAGGAACGCATCATACATTCATAGGTTCCTACCTAGAAGCCCCATGAATGCAAGATGCGCTGATTTTATGACTCTCTTTACTACCCCTGGGCCTGTAATGCTAAACCCCCTGGGACTCAAAGAGTTAAGAATAAATTAAATATATCAAGTGTCTATGAAATTATAAATTAACTCTTTCGGGTATCTGTAAAAAGAATAAATTAACTCTAGCATGTGTCTGTATAAGCATAAATTAATTATGTTATGTCTGTTTAAGAATAAATAAATTTCTATGATGCGTCTGCATTAGAATAAATTAATGCTATCTGGTAATTATATGTTTACCTTCTTATGTTTCAGTTTTCTTGTATTCTCAGAACTGAATCTATTGAATTGAAAATATATATTTTTTTTATAAATTATTGTTTAATTCAGTAATTCTCTTTTTATTCAGTCTTTCCAGAACGTCTCTATTTCATTGTTTTTGTTTCCATTAAATACAACCTTTTCTTCTGTATGTCCACATCTTCAGAGACTCAGTTTGATTTCCTAGTTGCTTGTTCTTTGTCCAAATGTTTGCACCATACAGCAGGGTTGAGTATACATAACATTTGATGATTCTCATTTTTATTGTGCTGTTTAACAAGACTTTTGTTGTATTTCTTTGTAATTGTTTAATGTCACCTGATTATTGGTTATGTTAAATTGTAGTTTTCACAGTCTGTCTGCAGACAAACAAATGCATGATAAACTGATCTTCACCGCAAGGCAGATGAAGGCTTTTTTGCCAGGTAGTATTCTTTTGAAGTCATCATTTGTATCCCTGCAACTATTTAGATACTTTGAGGTGAATACTGGCACCTTTCTTTTTTTTTATACACTTTATGGTGAATACCGCCACCTTTTTGCTAGAATCCTGATATAGACTATATGTTTGCTATCTTTCTTTGCCAAAAAATATATGCTTGAATGTGATATTTTTGGGATGATACTAGGTGGGTCTTCAGCCCAGTTGGGGGAGGGGGGCTGTCTGCCCCATAACAAGCATATGGTAAAAGGTGAATAATTAAGGGCTTGCCAAAATCGCATGTGTTGGGTTGAAAGCCTAGCTGTAAACCAACAAGAAAAAGAAGAAGATGAAGAAGAAGAAAGTTGCTTAGGCTGTAGCTATTTGCAAGTGTGTCAATGCAAGTAGTGTTTCCATAGATGTCTGGATATACCTGTTTCCCCCCATGACTCAAGTAGTGTTTCCAAAGATGTCTGGATATACCTGTTTCCCCCCATGATTCAAGTAGTGTTTCCATAGATGTCTGGATATACCTGTTTCCCCCCATGATGCAAGTAGTGTTTCCATAGATGTCTGGATATACCTGTTTCCCCCCATGATGCAAGTAGTGTTTCCATAGATGTCTGGATATACCTGTTTCCCCCCATGACTCACTTCATCGTCTCTCTAGAGAGGGACAGTGTTTTATTTTCAGATTAATGACGTGGCACAACAGACTTCGTCAACACGTTTTTCTGTATCAAAAACATGGAGGTGTGCTCATACTGGATGAGGGAGATATTCGGAAAAACCACATATGAATGACTTTTGACAGAAGATACGATATTAGATGAAATAACTAGAGCAAGAATGTGTGAACGAAGGATTAAGTTTGGATCTGTCAAGCAGAGAAAGATGAGAGTAAGAGATCAGCGTGTGTATATTCATTGTGCCACGGGAGCAGTTAGCATCTAAATCTTACATCTGAGGGAGTTGGAGCATCTATGAGTATGCCCGGTGTGGTATAATGTTGATTATTAAATCAGTAATCAGGAGATGTGTCCCTGCAGTTTAGCATCTGAAAAAGCTGAGCATGTACCCCACCACCATCAAGTGTGTGCTGCCAACAGAGAATCTATCTGGCCTGTTTCCACCTCAGTCAAGACAGAGCTCCATTACACGCAGAGATTTCTTCTTCTTTTTCTTCAGCACTCCGAGCTCTGGAGGTTCATTGCTGCAGATATCACTCG